GTGTGTGTGTGTGTGTGTGTGTGTGTGTGTGTGTGTGTGTGTGTGTGCATACTTGAATCCCTGCGAGAAGCAACCGGCGAGCCATTTTGTAGGACCGTACGTTTGAAAAAGATATGTATTAAAAAAAGAAGAGACCATTTTAGGTTATAACGTTCAGGGCTAGGACTACGCTGAAGCTGGGACATTTTGTGGTTTTGATAAGAGAGATGTATTTCGCTAAGATGTGTTGAAAAGTGAGGCTGTGAGTTGTATTTTGACTGCAAACGTGTTCCTGTGCGCGTCGTCTGTAATGAGCGAGTGCTTGCGTGGGATAATAAAGAGTGCTTTGAATGTGTCCTCATTTCAAGTGTTCGAGCAGCGGCTCCAGCTAACTAACAGGGGAGAGGTGAACAATAGAGTGACATAACTCGTATGCGCTCGCCTCAGTGTGTGCATGTGTTTGTATTTAGCACACGCTAGAATAAAGACATCTGTGTGTGTTTTCCTGGGTTTGTGTTGGTGACATGCGAGGGTGAAGTGTGTGTGTGTGGGAGACTGTAGCACAGCTCGAGTGTCTGTAGCTGATGGGTATGACTTTGCCCTCTGCCGTCCAATCCTCTTGTGTGGGCAAGTGTGTGTTTGTGCATCGCTGCGTCGCTACTGTGAATATTTTGTCAGTGATTTTGTTGTTGTTGCTGCTGCTGCTGCTCTCCCTCCTCGCGCTACATCAAAGGGCTTATTTGTATCGTCTGTTGCTAACCGTTCCAGCTCCCTTCAGTCTTGAGCTACATCCTATAAATGCCTTCTAGTGTGACTCAGACACCAGGGGAGCCACTACAGAAGGTCCCTAACCTTAATCTGTTTCAAGATAAAGAGACCAAGGACGGCAACAACTCAGCCTACTTGTGGTTTTCTTTAGTTTTGACTTGGGGGTAATTTAGCTGCTGTCTCTTAAGCAAGTATCGTTGAAGAAATAATGGGGTGATGTGTCTTCCCAGATAATTTAGCATTATTAAAAAAGAAGGAGGCGGCATACTCAAGGCAATCCCGGGGCCAGACCCTTGGATTTGGGTTACGGTACAGCCAAGTAGGAATATTGATCACTGTATTTTCACGGCCTTCTCGAGGCTTCAACGTGAACGAAATTGTAATTTTCCTGAACAAATGCCCAGAATTGTAACTGTTGCACAGGTATGATTCAGGATTAAAAGGGATTTGTCTTTTTTGCAAAGACCAGCGTGTGTTGGGAACTCGGTATGTGCTGCCTTAGCGAAAAACTCCTGGAAATGATTTGAATAGCAAGCGCTGGCCCAGAAAAATACCTCCAAACTCGTGATTTCCAGCAGACGCTCGGTATGATTTAATAAGGAATTTCGATGCACTGTCCGTCACTCCCAAGGACCAATATATTCTGAGCGGACACATGGGGTGTTTTCATTAATACCAGCCTCATCCCGTGATCATTGGGTGTTCATAAATTGCTTCCAAACACTGTCACAGCTTGGCGATTCAAACTTATTCTGAGTGCTGGAGCAATTTAGGATGGATGTTACCATGGCAAAGGCTGGCTCAACAGTACTAAGCATCTCCTCCTGCAATATTCACAATATTCACAATATCCACACTAGACTGCTTCCAGTCAGCTCTTTGTTTTCGAAGAGTAAACACTGACATGACCAACCCTCTCGTTGGGTCCCGGCAAACTCCAAACAAGAGTACAAAATTGAACAATAAAAGTAGTGGGAATGCTGCTATCCATTCTTACCATGCTTAAATATATAAGTCTCCTTCAATTAATGTCTTCACTCGAAGAACTGTTTCTCTTCACGCAGCCTTGTGAAATGATGGACACTGACTGTTTTTCAAAGAGCGAAACTTCAGAGCAATAACTGAAATTGGGAAAGAGATTAGCCAAAAAGGTTTTTGAGGAAGGGCTTTTTCTTGAAAAGTGAAATCAAACCAAAGCATTATAACTAAATATCTGAGGAATGAAAACCCCAAAATGAAAGCCTGTCTCGGGCAATCAGTCACACGGGGGAGATATTGGCTTGTCCCCGGTAAAGTCCCCCTAGTACTAAGACAGTTGGTCCTCAATCAGATTTCCCGCTATGAAATATGCAGGAAGCAGCACTTGTGTTTCTGAATAAAAGGCCCCGGTCATATTGTCGGCGTATAAAAGCCTGGTGTCACTTCACCCAGAGCCCTTTACTGTGCAGAATTGATAGAACCCGCCCGGTGGAGAGACTCGGCCATCACTGCGGGGAGTTCCTGTAACAAAGGTTACATTACAATGGGTTCTGATTCGCTGTTGCTCTCATGTCTTTTTTTTCACCTCTTCGCCCATGACGCCCAGTGTCTCAGTTTGATTAATAGCGCCGATATGTTGTTGCATGCTTTATTGGATTCAGTGCTGAAAAAGAAACTGTATTGCCAAAGCCTTATGCAAGCAATATTTGCGCTGATTCCCTTTCGGCTTCCTGATATATGGTTTTGTTATGAATTGTACTGCACCAAATGAATTGGTGTGTGTGTGTATATATATATACTGTATGTAGATTCAAACAACTGAGTGCTCTTTGCAGTCTATACTAGGCCAGGCAATATGGAGACAATCTAATATCAATATATTGTTTACCAAATACCTTAATGTCGATATTTCCGCTTTTTTTTGATAAATAATCTTCAGTAATATATATTTAATGACTAAGTGAATAAAGGCAAATACGAACAGCCTGGTAAGTTCAAAAGATGACATCACTTTACTGTAGTGCAGCTTTCAAAATCCAGGAAAAGACGACACATGTCATGTTATGATATCCAAAGACAATATCAATATAATATTGATATCTGGTGCAGCCCTAGTCTATCCTTCTTCTGGATGTATGATAAACTGCTGCACGGCATCAAGCTATTCAATTGGTTGAGTCATTTTTTCCTAATCCTGCCATTATTAAATACCGCTTCTTTTATTCCCTATATCCTCCATCCTCCCCTCTATCCGTCCTTTCAGCTCCTCTTCGATCCTCCCTCCGTCCATCTATCCTCCTTATTCTCTTTCCATCCGTCTTTTATGAACAGATTTCCCCATTTTCGCTGATCGTTCCCTCGCTCTTATCTCTCCATATCCTCCGCCCTTTTTCATTGCTATTGTAATCGGCCATCCTGTCGTTCCCTCAACCTAAATCTGCAGTCGGTGCACTCCTTTTCTTTTTTTTTTTTTTTTTCAAGCTCTTTCTTGGCACCTTACCTTTTTAGTTGTGTTCATTCCCCCTCCTCTCTCTCTCTCCCTCTCTTCTCTCTCTTCTCTCCCTCTGCAGCCAATCGGCTCTGCTCGCTGCAAATCCCTCTGCTATTCTCACCGGGCTCCAGCTGACCCCCTAGCCTCTCTCCTTTCTGCAGTCACTGTGTTATGTCTCTATTAGCCACAGCTATAACCGTGTACCATTATTTAGCATCCAAGGTCATTCCTCCTCCTCCTCTCCCCTCTCAACATTTCCTCTATAGCTGCCTCTGCTCCTCCTGCCTCCTCATCCTCCCCCCTCCTCGCTTCCTTCATCGCTGTCACCTCTCCATTTGCCCACATCTTATATTTCTCATCCTCCCTCTCCCTGTATCACCACTCTCTCCCCCCCCCCCCCCGCCCCACCACCTCTCCCTTCTCTTATGAGATTGTGATTCACCTCTCCAGTTGTTGTTTTTTTGCAAAAGAAACAGGCAAGCGAATTCGCTGAAATATACATGGCATTGACAAACACATGCATCTTTGATATGCTGATTCACTCCCACTCGCTGCATTATGCATTTTTAACTATATTTACATCCCACGTTGTCACATGTGCATGCGAATGTGCGGCTTTGTGGACACATGGAATACTATTCCCCTAAATCCCCCAGTACTCTTGATACCGATATCTTCCATGAATATAAAGTGCTCCCCTTATGACTTGGACCAGTGCTCTGGAATAAGATGAATTGATTGAATGGCTGTGTCGAAGAGACAGGGCTGTTGTTCTCATCGCAGTCCGGTGTATTCGCAGACACCGGCGTTGTGCGCCGTAACCCGACGTGCCAAGCGTGTGTGTGTGCGCGCCCGTCTCTGCGCTTCTAATTACGGGTAAACCCCGCAAAAAGGCGCGAACGCACACAAACAGATGCAGGGAGGAAGTCGGAGAGAAACGAGGGAGTGCTTTGTTCAAGCTGGTGACACAGAAACGAGTAATTATTAGTACCCGGGAGAGGGAGAAGAAGAAATGAGTGATAGCAAGGGGATAAAGGAGTGGTAGAATCATGTCCCCTCTTTCCTCGTCTTTTTCTTCCTCTTCTTTCCTTCTCTCGTTGTTTCATTCCTCCCTCTCTCCTCTGACACCAGACAAGAATTGGCACGGAGAGACGGAGTGGAGAGAGGGATGGAAAGAAAGACGAGGAGGAACAACAAAGCAATTATCTCCTCTTCTGGCTGACATCTGTGCTGCCCTCATTTCCTTTTCTCTGCCATGTCATGTCTCATGTCCGTCCACCCTTTCTCCCATTTTTGGTCTTGATTTGTCGGACTGTTTACTGTCTCATTGGCTGTCTCCCTCAATTTTGTCTGATCTCTTCTTCTGTTTTTCTTGATCTGTCTTTCTGTCAATCCCCACCCTGGATTTTG